TAATACTACTAGGACATTGCTTTCCCTGACATTGACATAAGACTATAAGAAATAGGAACAGGAGCAGGCTGTTCAGCTCCTTGAGCCTCCACTGCGATGCAATAGGATCATGGCTGATCCAGCATGCTTCATATCCACATCCTCTGCACTGGTTATTCATTATATCTTCTTCAAGCTGGATGGCTATTTGGGTTGTGAGAGGCCAGAAATATAGACTGGGACTGAAGATTATAGTTCAGTTACATGTCAGCACAACTGACTCAATATCAGAATCATTAACATCCATTTCTACTTGTAAGCATATAAAGTGTTTGGATTGAATTTTCACTGTGATGAAGAGCCTCTGTTGTTATGAACATAGTGGAAATCAATAGTGGGAAAGACAATGCATTTGTTTTCAGTAACATCATAAATTTACAACTCACTGGGTCAGGAAAGTGTGATATTTCATTGAAGAATCAAAGTGTTCCTCTGTGAGAAGTTCAAGAATTATTATTGACCTCTAGAGCTAAGAGTCTGGCTCACAAGAAACGAATGATTTGTCAGTTGCCTATAAATAACCCACCCATTATCACAAAACTTAAGGATTCTGCTGAAGGATGTCTGAGTTGTGGATAAGGAATATGAATGCCCTGTCGAACAAATCACATCTTTATTTGGTATATGTCTCAAATATGAGAAGACACCACCATGCCCATTTGAAAGCATTCCATTAGCTTGGTGGTTATGGACCTGAAAGTAAGGACAAGAATCAAAATAATTATCTGTTACATTTTTTAAATGTGCTCATTCGGTTCAGTTTATTTACAGTAATTAACAAGGACAAACAGATAATAATGGATAAGGTCATAGAAAAGTGGATTGGCACAGGCTTTGGAAAACCAAGAAATTTCTAACATACAACGGAGGCATCATAGAATCATACTGTAAGGAAAGAGGCCTTCGGCCCAATGGAACTGCACTGAATGCTAAAGGGGATTTGATAAGGTGGATGTTGAACAGATGCTTCCCCCTTGCGGGCAGCATCGAACAAGAGGTCATAGATATAGAGTGGGAGGAGGTAGGTTCAAAACTGAGATGAAAAGAACTACTTCTCTCAGTGAGTTGTGAATCTGTGGAACTCACTGCCCCAGAGTGCACTGGAGGCAGACTCAATCAACAGATTCAGGAAAGAAATAGTTATGTTTCCGATGAAAAGCAGGATAAAGGGCTATGGGGAGCAGGCGAGAGAGTGGAGTTGAGACCAGGATAAGATCAGCCATGATCATGTTAAATGGTGGACCGGGCTCGAAGAGCTGAATTATCTACTTCTGCTCCTAATTCCTATGTTTCTATGTTCCACTGATGTGAGAATTTGCAAATGAGGTTTGAGACATATGAGAAGTGAAAAATAGTAGTGAAGAATACTCTTGCAGCAAGTCCATTCAGAAAAGGTTTATGGGAAAGAAATCAGTAGTTGATGAAATGTTATACAATATACCAGCAGACTGACCACAGTGCAAGCTGAACATGGTTCTGGAATGGGCAGTACACATATCAGATAGGTTTCCTGATCTCAATTGCCACTCAAGGACATTTGCTGGAAATAAGTGAGACTATTTTCCTGAGCAGGAAAGAAAACTGGTCAAAAACCATGCAGACTTGGACAGGAAATAAAGGCTTGTTTAAAAGTTGGTTAATTACTTCCCAAATCTAAGCCAACAGTCCTTTACCTACATTTGTAAACTGATGCTTTATTCAACGTTGAGCAAATTCAGTAACTGAACGAAGTTTGGATTCCAATTTTCCAAATGCACAAATAGGATCTTTTGCTTATTCTTTCAGAGGGTGTGGATGTCACTGGCAAGACCAGCAGTTATTGCCCATCCATAATTGTCCTTGAACTGAGTGGTCAGGCCATTTCAGAGGGCAGTTAAGAATCAACATGTGGGTCAGGTCAGATAGGAATGTGGAATATAAACAAAAGAACTGAGGGTGGAGGAAATCTGAAACAAAAATCAAAACCATTGTAAAAACACAGTAAGTTGGGCAGCATCTGGAGAGAAACAGAGTTAATATTTCAAGTCCAGTGACCCTTCATCAGAACTGAAGGTTTGATTTCCTTCCTCAAAGGGTATTAGTGAACTAATCAGGTTTTTATGACAATCGACAATAGTTTCATTGTCACCATGACAGAGACTGACTTTTAATTCCAGATTTTTTTTATTAATTGAATTTAAATTCTACCAGATGGCATGATTTACAATTCTGGGTACTATCTGTTGAGACAGAAACAGAGTTAATGTTTTGAATCCTATACGACTCTTCTTCAGAACATAAAAGAACAATCATATTAGATTTGAAAGCATAACTCCTTTTCTCTGCAGATGCTGTCAGATCCACTGAGTTTCTCCAGAATTTTCTGTTTTTGGTTCAGATTTACAGTATCTGAAGAATTTTGCTTTTATTGTGATTAGTCATAGAATCATACAGTTATGCAGCATGGAAATAACCGCTTTGGTCCAACTCATCCATGCCAACCAGGTTTCCTAAACTGAACTGGTCCCATTTGCCTGCATTTGGCCCATATCCCTCTAAATTTGATTTATTGTAGTCATGTGAATCTGTCCAAATGTCTTTTAAATTTGTAATTGTACTCATCTCTACCACTTCCTCTGGCAGCTTGTTCCAAGTATGCACCACCCTCTGTGTGTAAAAATTGCCTCTCAGATCCTTCTTAAATCTTTCCCTCTCACCTTAAAATATGCCCTCTGGTATTGCACCCTTCCCCCCTACCCTGGGTAAAAGACTTTGGCTATTCACCTTTTCTATGCCCCTCGTGATTTTATAAACCTCTATAAAGTGATCCGTCAGCCTCCCATGCTCCAGGGAAATAAGTCCCAGCCTATTCAACCTCTTCCCACAGCTCAAACCCTCCATTCTTGGTAACATCCTTGTAAGTCTTTTTTACAACCTTTCCTGTTTAATAACATCCTTCCTATAGCAGGGCTACCAGAATCGAATCTATCTCCCCAGATGATTCGCTTGCATCACTGCATTACTGATGAAATTGCCACCATCTCTTTGTAATCCTGCTAACACAGACAATTGGGACACAAATTTTATAAAACTTTTCCTCATGAGCCTACTCAATTTTTATTTACTGTGTCAGAACCCATATCAATAAATTATACATTTAACTGTGCCATATCCTAACACACTGCTCCATCTGACATTACCAATAAATTTTATCAAATCATCTATAGATGTTATAAAGAATAAAAAGCACCATGTACGTTTAAGAAACTAGAAAAAACATGAGAGCTGTCTTTGTTGTCCAGTGAGGTTGACTTTTTGGCTTTCCAGTGGATTGAACTTAGCAGAATTTAGGTGGTGTCAAAATTTTGTTTCTTTTTATTCATCCACAAGATGTGAATGTAGCATTTATTGCACATTTCTAATTGCCTTTGAGAAGGTAGTGGGGTGAGTTGCCGTCTTGAACTGCAACAATTCTGAAAGGGACAGCTCCAATGCTGACAGAAGGGAGCTCAAAGGGAGTTCTGAATTTTGACACTGCAACATTAAAGGAATACTGGTAAAGTTCCAAGCCAGAATGGTCTGCAACTTGGAGGGGAACTGCAGGTGATGGTGTTCCTGTACACCTGCTGCCTTTTTATTTCAAGGTGATAGAGGTAATGGGCTCTGAAAGTGCTGTGGAATGGTGCATTTCTGCAACATACTTGTAGATGCTGCACGCTGCTGCTATTGCAGATCTGTGGTGAAGGGAACGAATGCAGAAGTTGGTGGATAGGGAACCAATCCAGCAGGCTGTATCCTGGATGGTGATGAGCTTCTTGAGTGTTGTTGGAGCTACACTCATCCAGGCAAGTGGGGAATATTCCATCATACCCTTGACTTGTGCTTTGTAGATGGTGGACAGACTTTGGGGAGTCAGGAATTTGTCTACATTGCAACAATGATTACACTTTAAAAGTTGGCTGTAAAGAAAAGAAGCACAATATTTTCAACATGCCACTGGAACTAATTCAGAGTAAGTCTACCTTTTCCAATCATATGCATCATTTTCTGGGACTTTGTGAGGCTGGAAACCCTCACAAAAAATGTAAGTGTATTCTTTCTTTTAAAATGACTTCTATCGCATGGAAGAAAGAAAGACTAGCATTTATATTAATACACCTCCTCTCACCCACCTTCCTGCAAAAAGGCCATTCCCTATTCCCAATTCCTTCGCCTCCGCCACATCTGCTCCCGAGATGAGGCATTCCACTCCCGGACATCCCAGATGTCCTTGTTTTTCAAGGAACAGCATCTCATATTTCGCTTGGGAACCCTGCAGCCCAAGGGTATCAATGTGAACTTCACAAGCTTCAAAATCTCCCCTCCCCCAACCACATCCCAAAACCAGCCCAGCTCGTCCCCGCCTCCTTAACCATTTATCCCACCTCAAGCCGACCCCCATCTCCTACCGATTAACCTCATCCCGCCTCCTTGACCTGTCTGTCCTCCCTGGACCGACCTATCCCCTCCCTAACTCCCCACCTACATTCACCTTCACTGGCTCCAACCCCGCCTCTTTAACCTGTCCGTCTCCTCTCCACCTATCTTCTCCTCTATCCATCTTCCATCTGCCTCCCCCTCTCTCCCTATTTATTTCAGAATCCCCTTCCCCTCCCCCATTTCTGAAGAAGGGTCTCGACCCGAAACGTCAGCCTCTCTGCTCCTATGATGCTGCTTGGCCTGCTGTGTTCATCCAGCCCTGCACCTTGTTGTCACAGCATTTATTAACTACCTGCCTTGGAGATAGCTAAAAGTGCTTTACATGAAACACATTACTTTTGAACTGTAGAGATTAGCAAATGTAGCACACAATTTACACAGTGCAAACTCATAAATGAAGACTTACCTTAAGAGCTTATTTAAGTCATTCACTCTATCTCAGAAAGTTTAATCAAGTAGACTGATGATTGAGAGAAATGGTTCGTTGTGATTTTGCTACTTACCTAGTCTGGGTGATGTGATAGTGTTCACATTGACTTTTTCATTGCATGGTTTTAAATGGCAAGGTCTATAGGCTGCAGGCTTTTCTGATAGGAAGCAATCACTTCCATGTCTTCCTGTCACTTTGTGCATACACTGGATTACTCGTGATTGCATTCCTTTTCCACAGGTAACGGAACACTGTAGGTAAAGATGCAGAAGTAGTTAGAGAACAACTTTTTCAATCACTACTACTTTTCTGTGTTAGTTTATTGTAAAGGATGCCACTGTTGGAGACAAAAAGTTGCACTTTAGTTTCTGACGGTAGTATGATGTGTGCAGATTGAATCTGCTAAAAGATAATTTGTCATGAGTATGGTCCTGACTGAGAAGAAAATGAACAAAGAACATTATTTATATCATAAAACACTGAAAAATGAATCAGAGTCTACCCATCCAGATGTCTTTTAAACATCTGGTTCTTCTGGTTCAAAAACACATTCATTAATTTACAACAGTGTTGGAGTTTTATAATCAAGTATAGGTTTATACAGCATGGAAACAGACCATTTGGTCCAACTCGTCCAATCTAACCAGACATCTTAAACTGAGCTAGTCCCATTTGCCAGCATTTGGCCCATATTCCTCTTAAACCCCTTCTATTCATGTACCCATTCAGATGCCTTTTAAATATTGTAATTATACCAGCCTCCATCACCTCCTCTGGCAGCTCATTACATACACGCACCACGCTGTGTGAAAAAGTTGCCCCATTAGTTCCTTTTAAATCTTTCCTCTGTCACCTCAAACCTATACCCTTCAGTTTTAGACTACCCTGGGAAAAAGACCTTGTCTATTTACCCTATCCATGCCACTAATTATTTTATAAACCTCAATAAGATCACCCCTCAGTGTCTGATGCTCCAGAGGAAATAGCTCCAGTCTATTTGGCCTCTCCCTATAGCTCAAACCCTGCAGTCCCGGCAACATCCTTGTAAATCTTTTCCGAGCCCTTTAAAGTTTAACAACACATCCTTCCTATAGAAGGGAGACCAGAATTGTATGCAGTATTGTAGAAGTGGTCTCAACAATGTCCTGTACAGCTGCAACATGACATCCCAACTCCTGTACTCAATGTTCTGACCAATGGAGGCAAGTGTGCCAAATGCCTTCTTCACCATCCTGACTACCTGCAACTCTACTTTCAAGGAACTACAAGCCTGCACCCCAAAGTCTCTTTGTTCGGCAACACTCCCCAGGGCCCTACCATTAAGTGCACAAGTCCTGGCCTGATTTGCCTTTCCAAAATACAGCACCTCACATTTGTCTAAATTAAATTCTACCAGCCACTCTTCGACCAGTTGAGTCTTCTGAATAATGGTGCTTTGTACTCTGAGATAGCTGCTTCACTGTCCACAACACCACCTATTTTGGTGTCATCTGCAAACTTACTAACCATACTTTCCATATACACATCAAAATCATTTACTTAAATGAAGAAAAGCAGTGGATCCAGCACTGATCTTTGTGGCACATCGCTGGTCACAGGGCTTCAGTCTGAAAAGCAACCCTCCATTACCATCCTCTGTCTCCTACCTTCAAGCCAATTTTATATCCAGTTGGTTAGCTCTCCCTGAATTCCATGTTTTTTAACCTTACTCACCAGTTTACCATGCGGAACCTTGCTGAACACTTTGCTGTAGTCCATGTAGACAACATCTACCGCTCTGTCTTCATCAACCTTCTTTGTTGTTCTTCAAAAAACTCAATCAAGTTACTGAGGCACAATTTCCCATGTACAAAGCCATGTTGACTATCTCTAATCAGCCTTGCCTTTCCCAATGTATGTAGATCCTGTCTTTCAGAATCCCCTCCAATAACTTACCCACCACTGACGGAAGACTCACTGGTCTCTAGTTTACTGGCTTTTCCCTACAGCAATTCTTAAACAATGGCGCCACGTTAGCTACCCTCCAGTCTTCTGGCACATCACCCATGGATATCGATGAAACAAGTATCTCAGCAAGGGGCCCAGCAATCTCTTCCTTAGGTTTCCACAAAGTTCTGGGAAATACCTGATCAGGTCCCAGGGATTTATTAAACTTTATACATCTTAAGACCTCCAGCACTTCATCTTCTGTAACATGAACCCTTTTCAAGACATCACTATTCATTTCATAAAGTACCCTGGTTCCATGTCCTATTCCACAGTAAATACCGATGTGGAATATTTGTATAGTATCTCACCCATGTTGCACACTGAAGACAAACATCTGTTATGCCCCTTTTATCACCTTATCTACATTTCCTGCATCATATTCAATGTGCCATATTTATTGGCATCGAGAGACTGGTTGCTTCAGTTGCTTCAACTCACCCATTAGTTTTCCACCCTTGGTGTTTGAATTTGAATGAACTCCTGAGATGTGGGATAAAGTCTGAGTTCTAAATGTTTACGTTCAGTAGGTTTGCACAACTTTACTTTAATCCTGGTGGGCAAGGACCCAAATACAAAATGCTAAGCTGATCCTAATTAGCAATTAGACTTAGAAGCTACAAAATAATTGCTGTTGAAGATTCATACTCATACAGCAGGGAATCTTTTTCTTCGATAGTAGCTCAAAGTTAATGATGGAGTAATGACAGGGAATATTCAATCTACATCTGATTCTGCTATACCTCGGCTGGAGGTTTGGCGTGTGGCACACACACATTGGTAGAAGGGTGTGGGAGGGATGGATTTCACGGAGCCCACGAGGTTGTGAAACATAGCGCTCAGGTTGACTGAATTAGGTCATATGATTTCCAATGGCAGGTTCAGACACACAGATTAAGTCAGTGGTATGTCTGCAGTGTGTCAAGCCTCAAGTCCTCCTATGGCAGTAGGTAATTGAAACATACTTACATGCCATGAATAGTGTAAAATATTTTGCAATTACATCCTATCTTCAAAATAAAGATAGTGACACATTTTGCTGGTGGCGGTCATGGTTGAAAAGATTGGGTTTGTGTGTATTGGGGAGTGAAAGAAGTTTCCAAGGGAGGACAAAGGGTGAAGCCAGGAGCATGGAGGAGTAAAGTGTCCATTTTGTCAGGAAGAATAAAAGCAAAACATATAATCTAACTTGAGGGAAATTGCAGAGCTCCGACATGCTGAAGGTTATGAGTGTCCTAGCACTTGAATCACAGAATTAATATGCATGTTCAAATTGATTTCTGTAAAAATTTAATTTTCAATTTGATCAGTTTTTCCTATAAATTGAGAAAACCATGCAAACTATTGTGTTATCTCTTACATTCAGTGTGTCAGACATACACATGTGGAAGATTACATCTTTAAATTTCCCATTGTTTGATAGCTTTGCAATACTTTGCAACAAACACGACTGTCATTGATATGATGAACACTATTTTCAGTTTATTTGATAATCCAGATTGGACAGTGTCTGACAATGGATTGCAGTTTACTGGCAAACTGTGTACTAAGTGGGGAATGATCCATAATCATATTGTCATTCACTATTCATGCTCAGTCTAGTAGAATGAATGGTACATACCATCAACTCAATGATCATCAAGTGTTGAGCAACAAAGCAAGATTCTCACACTGCACTGTTGCATTTTCATGGCAACGCCAATGGAGAAGGGATTACTATCCCTAATATAATTCAGGCTCAGAAGGAAACTTCAAATGACCTTACCCAGTAACCAAATATCTAGCCATTTGAGGCATGGGACATTCTTCTTCAAGTACTAAGGAGAATGAAAGCAATACAAGCTGAGAGAGCAGATAGAAACTACCAAGACTGTTCACTGTCTTGAATGTTCAACAGAGTTAATATTATAAATTTAAATAAAAATACTTGGATATCAGCAAAGGTTTTTAAAAATGTAACCAGTATACTGCTCTGTTGTAACCCTATCATTTAATACAGACACTTATCTCCCTAAGGAATGTAACGTTTGTACATAATAGTTAATTGTAATACACATCTGTTGGATTCTTCAATACCTGCTACTACATTTGAAAAAAGGGTAAGAATTCACAAATCAGGAAAAACAGACTACTTAAGGCAAACACACACCACCAACTGGATTTGATGTTCAGTTTGTGCTTGGTAGGTTGAACTTAGCCATGGTAACTGGAGGGGTATTCCAGGAACTGAGCAGGATACATTACTTAGGGTTTGTCTCTAAGATATCCAAATAAACATTGTAGAGGTAGAGGCCTCCCATTGACCTTTGGTTATTGGTCCACCAACAATACAGGAAAATAACTTATTGGCATCCAGCATAAAAAGAACAATGAGATGAATTGTGCATCAACATGGGGTTACAGTGGATATGGGGTGAGGAGTGCCACAAATAAAATGGAATTATGTTAAGTGCTTATCTAATGAAGTCATATTCCAAAGCAGATCACATTCAGTCACATAATATTGATGTCCTAATGCAAGTACAATGCTAATAACATTTCAACATTTTCTAATGAATTTGTTGTGCATTAAACTCTTTGCATTATGTGGTTATGCACTTCAGACACAGAATTCTATACCTGACCTTGTTGACTGAGTTAAGTTCAGCCAACTGGAGCACTCTTGTTGGCTTCAGCACCCTAGGCCTAGGGAAGGGGAAGAATTGGAAGAGGTTGCCGTTGTTTCAAATGGACGTCTGCTGGAAAGCAACTGTTTGTAAAAATAATTAGCACAGGATTCACATCTAAGTTTCACTCAATGCCGCTGTTTTATTTGTGTTAATTTAGCAAAACCAGTGCAAAAGATCATAGAATTTTGAGCACAAATTAGGTGTTTGTGATCTTTCTGCGGTGGTTTAAAAAGCCATGCTATAAACCAGCTTTGTCCAGAAAACTGATCATTTCCAAAATTGAATTAATTGCCATTATGAGGTTATGGCAATTGTGCCCATTGCAGTCTTGCAAGGATGATGTAAAAATTAGGCTGTGCTTTTTACCAGGACATTGATCGGTGTGTTTAAAACAAATTGTAACAATCTGACTATTGTACCCCAATATAAGTAGTAAATATTCTGCTTTGTATTTTAAAGACATTTCCAAAATTTAAAATGAGTTACTCAGACATTATGAACCGGACATCCTGGTTAAAATGTTTATTGTTCGCTATAAACCCAGTTTCTGTTGTATTATTCTAAGTGTGCTAACTTCTCACTGTTAAGACGATCAG